AATGTATGTTTTATCTTATTTTTCAAAGGATATTTCTTGATAGCAATTTTGCAAAGATATATTGTAGTAACAATAATATTGGGTTAAGTATAAGATTTGGATATGCTGGATGTTAGCTTCATATATCAGGATGTGAAAAATTTGTTTTTACATAAATATTTAGCTTTAGATATATTTTCTCAGTTGTTGATACTGTATTTCCTGTTAATTTTTCTAGTCTCTTGTTATTCTCTTTTTATTATATTATAAAGAATAATGACAGTACTTCAAATTCAGTCATAGATTTGGTTCACTATTGTCAGATATATGTAATTTTTTCAGCATTGGAAGGATGCATTAATAAAGTGTTTTCGTGACTATTTCAGCACTGGCATTCCTGTTGCCTCTTCTAGGATCTCGCAATGTGATGGGTCGCCTTCTTTCTGTCACAGCCTCCCTCCTTTGTCCATTCCTGCTATTGTCAATCAGACATGAAGGATTCTTCTATATTGCCTTGACAATAGCAATGTTCCTTTGGCTCATCCTTGAATTCTACCTGGCAGGTGAAAATGTGCAGGTAATGATTTTTTTATTATGCCTTTTTGAAGTATACACATATTTAGAGCAGATTTAGCTCTTAATTGAAAGGATAAATAGATAGATAGATAGATGTTTTTGGCAGTTAGGGTTTTAGTAGAAGGATTAATCAAAATTTATTTTTTAACAGGCATAATATTTCTTGGCTTGTGGATGGAGATGAAGGTAAAGTACTTAACCCAATGCCGCCATGTAAAAAAGTCTAGCAGGTGGATGTAATAATTGGGATTGTTGGCGCGCATCGGCAGTTTCCCATGTTTGCACCCAGCTCGTTTGGTAGTTTGCGAGCGATATTTGGCACCTAAAAGCTTTTATTTTGACATAATTTTCAAGGTTTACCTTCATTTTATGTGCCATTGCCTTAAAACTTTACCATATAAATGAAGCTGCTACTATTGGAGAAAAACAAACTTCTTCTTATGATCCAATGGCGCAGGAATGGTCATGATACAATGCCATCCGTTTTTCAGTCCAGAACAGCTATGGCATGTACATACATGTCTCCTGACAGGTAGTGATTAAGAAGCATAGAATATTCTCTTTCATTCTTCAAGGAAATACAGGTTGATTTCAGAAATGGGTTTTCATCTTTCCAAGAAACTTGATATTCTTATATTTATTAATCCATCTTTATGTTAATGCTAACCTGATCTTTTCATTCCATCAGCACCTCCTGTTGCCATTCATCTTAATATCACAGCTTCAGTTATGTAGCAGGCTTGTGATGGTATTCAGTATATACCCGTTTCCCATTCTTGCCATGTTTACCAGAAGTTTGCAGCTTTTTAACCCTATTATGTCCGTGCCAGAATTTTCTGTGATGTGATTATTATACAACAGTTGAGTCTTTGTGACAGGGTTTATGTTGCATACAGATGGCCCATCCGCTCGCTGAGCGAGTGAGTCGTGACACATATATACGTAATACATGATTATATCATGATAGCTATAGCTGAAGAGTTAAATATATATGGTGAAGTGAGTCAGGTTTAGAAGGCTGCTTCAGTAGGATTACCAGGTCCGGACTTGCTTGATACCATAACAGCCATGGGCCTGTACACGACCAAAGTGGGGTCATACCACATCCTGATTGGTAATCATCAGGCACATTATGCTACCCACTGCTGACTCTTTATCACCATAATCTTGCATCTCTCTCATTAGACCACTCAGCCATGCTTCTCTAGTTCCTAATTGACATGTTTTTTCCTTGTGGGCCATTAAATGAGCAACAACTCTTGCCTGTTTCCATGTTTTGTGTTGTCTACGTATATAAACAGTTTTATAGAACTGGGCATTTGGTCACAGATGCTTAAACTATTTTACTCCAATTATGTAGGATCTTATTATTTTTTTTGCATTTGTATTAGTTTGATTATGCAATAAAGTTGGTGAATAACTTGAATTGCGTAATTATTTGTAGTTTATCTCAGGTGAGTTATGTGTATGTTTTCATTCATGTTTCTCATTTTCCACTAAAGGTGCAGTTGAACTGGTCTTGTGTACATCTAGGACTTCCTTTTGTGTGAGTGCCCAGCCAGATGTAGTGTTTCAACTGTGAAAAGCACTGCAGTAATAGACTACATATGCCTCTCACTTGAATAACACCGCACATACTACTTCTTATTTGAGCAACATGGAGCACAAGGACTTATTCCCTGTTATAGATATTAATAATTTCTTTAAGGGAATTACAGACATTGATCTTAAATTGCACCCTGGAAAGCCAAGAGATACTCGAGGAAATAGAACTGTCTGAATCATGTTATCGCTGGCTACCTTCAGCCCCCAGATTTTGCAACAGAGTGACGCAATCATACCCAGATAGCCACACTTATGGCCGGACCTGTGCGTACACATGACCAATTGAACCGCCTGTTAAGATTGTTTAACAGTGCTTCACCTAGGTATATTGTTCTTTTGACTGAAAGAGTCTTCATCATATGAACAGCCATTATACTCCATTAGACCTTGGGTATCTCTCTCTCTCTCTCTCTTTCTTTCTTTCTTTCTTTCTTTCTCTTTTCTCTCTCCTTCTTTCTCCCTTTCCTCTCTTTTCTCTCTCTCTTTCCTCTCTCTCTCCTCTTTCTTTCTTTCCTCTCTCTCTTTCTTCTCTCTCTTTCTTTTCTCTCTCTTCTTCTCTCTCTCTCTTTCTCTTCTCTTTCTCTCTCTCTCTTTTCTTTCTCTCTCCTCTCTTTCTCTCTCTCTCTCTCTGTCTCTTCTCTCTCTCTCTCTCTCTCTCTCTCTCTCTCTCTCTCTCTCTCTCTCTCTCTCTCTCTCTCTCTCTCTCTCTCTCTCTCTCTCTCTCTGTCTCTCTGTCTCTCTCTCTCTCTCTTCCTCTCTCCTCTCCTCTTCTTCTCTTCCTCTTTTTTCTTTCTTCCT